TAGTTTCACCAAAACACAGTGTGGCTCCTTCAGGATCTATAAATATGAGGAAACCGGTTAATTCTGCTGTGGTTGGTCGTTACATGGAGGCTGACACGAGTGTGCTGCTGGATGGGCGTGACCTCCTGTTCTGAGAGAGCGTGAACCATAAACATCAGTGTTTTCCTGCCTGATGAAGTCGTTGATGTCCCTCAGTTACTTTAACCTCTTTAATCAAACAGACACAAAGTGCAGATTCCTGTCACATAGTAACAGCAGCGACCGTCATCAGCCTGACTGTTGCCTCGGCTGCTCTTTGGCGTGAATCCAGTGACATTTTTAACTTTGGCTGATTTAAAATGATGTGAAACCAGCAGCCAGGTTAGCCGAGCTAGCATTGGCTAACATTAGCTAGAGGAGAGACTGCTCAGGGTTTGATCCTGAACGACTCCTGTGCATCATGGAGTCTCCCGCCGACGCTCACTGTAACTTCCTCTCAGCTTTGTGGCCTCAGGAACGCATCGCAGAGGCTGCTCAGCAGCTCTGATGCTAACAATCACACCCTGTGTTTGTGTGGGAGTTGTGTGTCACTGATCTGAGCGTAAATCAGTGCAACACAAACACAGAAATCGATGTGACGGACGTTGGGGAGCACAAAGAGCTGCAGCAGAGCCTTCAATCAGGAAAGTGACCGTAGAGCTCATCAGCTCGCGTGACAGGTGTCGCGTGTTAGTGATGCGTTTCCTGATCTGAAGCTCATCGGCTCTCGGAGGACGAAGCATCGAGATGTGAGGAAACGTTACATCTTGTTGTTTGTTTTTAATTCATGAATGCTGATTTCAGGGAGGGCAACGACCCCGGCGACGAGCTGACGGTGACCTACAGGGAGCTGCTGCAGAGAGTCTGTCAGTTCGCCAACGTCCTGAAAGCTCAGGGTGAGTCACCTGCTCGCTGGCACCGCCCCCTCTCAGCTCTGAGTCATAAATCCTGCTCGCTTCTCTTTTTTGTCTCCAGGCGTGAAGAAGGGCGACCGCGTGTCCATATACATGCCCATGGTGGTCGAACTGGTGGTCGCCATGTTGGCGTGCGTACGCATCGGAGCGGTCCACTCCATCGTGGTGAGCTGCAGACGCCGGTGAAGGCGGTGGTTTGAGTTAAAGATGGAGGCTAACGCTGCTCTGCTCTCAGTTCGCAGGTTTCTCTGCAGAGTCTCTGTGTGAGAGGATCGTGGACTCTCAGTGCTGCCTGCTCATCACTGCAGGTCAGCCTCACCTGCACAACGCACCTGCAACACGCTCGTTACAGATATCCATAAACCTGCAGGTAGCAGTGTTGAGTCTGACCTTGACCTCTGACCTCCTTTGGTTGGACAATAAGCTACTTGTGGGTTGTAAAAAAGGTGAAATGGCCGAGTTAACCGGGGAGCGAGATCCAGACCAACGAAACGTCGCAGAGCTGGAAAAGCTGCTCACGCCAATCATTCCATCTTTATTGATCTCTGTCTTCACCCAGAGGTGGCGCCGGGACGCTCGCCGCGTCCGGGTGGAGCGTTTATGTTGCTCGTTTATTCGTCCTGATGATCTCATACCAAACGTGCACCTTTGAGTTCACGCTTCCACCTTTTATGCAGCGTGCACACGCGTTTCACCACCAAGCTGGACGTGGCGGTGAAGAGAGGCGCTGGCCGAGGTGCTGAGTTGGGGCCAATAATCAGTCTTATTAGCTGGATTAGAGAGTGGTGATATAATCCAGTTAATCTGCTGCGTTATTGGCCACACACACATCCTGTAAGCAGATCATGAGGCCCGCTGCCTCTGTGGCTGCCGTTAGCTTTGACCAGCACGGGTGGAGGTTCGGTAAACCGGTGCAGGCGTAGCTGCAGAGTTGATGCTTTGTTAATCCGTGTGCACGTTATGGCGAGGAAGGATCCGTCCTTAGACTAGGCGCTGAGGATTTTTAAAGCTGGGATCTTACAGTAATGCTAAAGTTAACCTGTGACCATCACCCACGATGTGGGTGGAGCTTGTAATCCAAGCCCACACCTGTTCTGCTGGAAGGGAGAGTGATTGGCTGTAGTGACGAGGATCAGACGCAAGGTGAAGCACACGGGGAGTGACTCGCTGATGGAGCTGCAGTGAAAGCTGAGCTCCACCAGTCTGATGTCACAGCTTCGGCTGTCGGCGTCCGTGTGCTCGAGTGACGCAGCAGCGTACAGAAACCACGCAGAGCGTATCTGATCAGCTGACGGACCAACGCGGAGGTTCGACTGATTAATGGAGGACGCTGATTTCAGCTCTTTGCTGCACTAAAGCAGATTTATTACAGACACTGAGCTGAAGGAGCCCTGATG